GATAACCCAATTCAAGCTCAACCATATTCGAGCTATGAGAATCACGATTTCTCCATACTGCCTCACCAAGATAATCAGGCACGCTCAGCTAGGGCATGACCCGTAACCATGACGATCGAGGCCTTGACAGTTGCTCTACTAATGGGCGGTAATAGCTTGAGATTAATCATGAGGAAGATGACAAAATTTCGGACTTGAGAAGTGTCTGAGGTCCAGTCCGGAGCTGACCAGAATCTGGTCCGCCGGACTGACCTTGGTCAGCTTCTCGGGTCCGCCGAATTGTCCGTTTTGAGAAAAATCTGAGCTTGGTCCGGGGCTGACCAACTTTTGGTCAGCTCCGGACCAACTCAGTCTTCTCCTACTCCTCCGAGCTGACCTGGAATCGAACTCAGTTCGAAAACTGAGCTTGGTCCGGGGCTGACCAAACTTGGTCAGCTCCGGACCGAGTAAGTCCGTTTTCTGTCTGCTCCGAGCTGACCAGAGGAAGCGGAGCGCAGATCAACTGGGCTTGGTCCGGGGCTGACAAAACTTGGTCAGCTTCGGACCAACTCAGTTCGCTTCTTCCAGTCAGTCCGCGATGCGTCTCGGACCTGTGTTTGTTCACGCTTGGTCCGCCGGACCAACTTTTGGTCCGGGGCTGACCAGCGTGAACGTTGGTCCTCCTGACCAAAAACACGGTCCGGAATCTGATCTGCCTGCTGGTCCGGCTGACCAACTCTTGGTCCGGCTGACCGCGGACAGATCAGATTCAGAACAGATTTTTCGGGCTTCGAAAATCAGGTTTTACCCCGGGTTCGACGCACCGTTAACCCGTCCCAGACTCCATACCATCCATGCATCATTCAACAATCACAAATATCATTAAACATGCATAGATTCAATGATTACATGCAATTTAACGATTAAATCATGCAATCATGCAACAAACACGACGATATACAGAGAACCAGGCTCTGATACCACTGTTGGGTTATCTACGGGTTCCTAACATGCGATCATATCGATCTAGGGATTGGTTTACTAGGTTTCATGCAGCGGAAGAAAGATCTAAACCTAGTCTAACGTCACATGCAACCAAACTCACAAAACCCGAAAGATCGTGTATATCACCGAGGGAATCGTTACTTACCTCGTTCTCGATGAGACTTGACGTTTATTTCGATCCGGGACCTGTTCTAAATCACCTAGGACTGAAGTTACAGTCCCTCTACACGTATCTGATGCGCACGCACCGAGTCTTATATTTAATACCCGATTCGTACCACTATCCGCAAGTATACGGTAGTTGTAGTACCGGGGTCGAACACGAGGACTAGGATGTATTAGTCTATCTCTAAGCTAGATTAGGTGGTCAAGTAAAAATGTGGTTTGTGGTAAGGGTCGGAATACAAGAAAGCAAGTAAAATTAACGGTTTGTAAAACGATGGTTTGAGGCGTTGTAGGTTCGGCATCCCTCATGAGTCGCATGGACGGTT